TGACTGATTCATGTCACTCTCCTGTTTTAAAACAAAACCAAACCGTCAATGACTTCTCATTGCCCCCAGAGAAAAGTTCAATCTGTTCTGAAGACATTCAATGCCCTTTACCACCAGGCCCTAATCTGCAAGATTCCAACCTGGTTTGAGTCACACCAGGTGGCTCATCATACCTCTCTTACCTTGCTTACAACTTCCTCTATCTATAAGACTCACTCCCCTACCCCCATCCAATAAAATCATATACAGCCTTTGAGGTCTATATCAGCATTACCTCAATGAACCTATGCCCAGGAAGAACTCATAAAACTCTTCTATGTACCGCTAAAAGTACTTCTCTTGTCCTACACATTACTGATCAAAATGATATTATATTAGTCATTTACAGTCTATAAAACCAGTTGCCATCGAGTCAGCTCCGACTCATAGCAACCCCATGTGTGTCAGAGTAGAATTATGCCCCACAGGGTTTTCAACGGCTGATTTTTAGGAAATAGATCACAAGGCCCCTCTGGGTGTACTCAAACCTCCAACCTTTCAGTTAGCAGCCGTGTGCGTTAACCCACGGAATGAGTGCACCACCCAGGGACTCCTACGGGACCACAGATGACCACACATAATCTATGGCCACCTCTCTTAGATTGCAAATCCCTGGAAGAAAGGGACCAAGCTCGTCCATCCTGTATTCCTAGCACGTGAAAAGTGGTCTGGCACTCCATAAGTGTTTGATATATATGACCTTGAATTCATAGTCGCCATTTCCCCTCATGTTTTCCCATTTTTCAAACTGAATTCAGAATGTTGTTTATCCAACGCTGTTTCTGTGGGGTTGGTTAATGTTTGCCACCATGACATGATGCTGCTTATGCAAATTTACCTCCTAAATGTAAGCCAGGCCCTTGTGCTTGGTTCTCTTTCCTGATTCTTGCACAGCTGTTGGGGGGCTGTTTGACTTCACTTTCTCCTACTGCATAACTGATTGGCTATAATACCTCTGATTTGTTTCCTTGTGATTGATTGCATATGATATGTTGCCCATTTGGTGAGGTAGGCATGCATGAAAATGATTTGGGAGATCAGTGTTATCTTTTCAGGAGCAATGGCTATGTAATGAAATCTCTGGAGGGGGAAGTTGTTGGCCTGTTCTGCTGCTTTACTCTTAAGCACTCTAACTCTGAAGATACTGTAAAATCTTAAATTAAAAAAAAAAAAAATCTAAATAGTCTGCTAGGACACTGAAGTTTCTTACGATACTTCCACTCAAATGCAGTTTTTGGTGACTTTTCCTTCTTTAGCCAAAAAAACAAAAAACTAAATGTCCATCAGTAGGTGAATGGGTAAACAAACTGTGGTATAACCAAACAATGGAATACTACTCAGCAATAAAAAGTAATGAATAACTGATACACATAACACGTGATGGATCTCAAAATAATTATGCTTAGTGAAAGAAACCAGATAAAAAAGAGTACATATTGCCGGATTTCATTTATATAAAATTCTAGAAAGTGCAAACTGATAGTGATAGAAAGCAGATGTGTGTTGCTTAGGGATGGGGGTGTGGAGAAAGAAGGGGATGTAGGAAGGGATTACAAAGTGTTATGAGGAAGCTTTTGGGGGTGATGGGTATGTTCAGCATCTTGATTATGGTGATGGTCTTATGGATATAGACATTTGTCAAAACTTATCAAATTGCACACCTTAAATATGTGTAATTTACTGTATATCAATTATATCTCAATAAAGGTATGAAAAAAGACAGTGGGAAGAGGACAGAAGTGAGGGAGAAGTCTGTCTAAGAAGTTACATTCAGTGCTGTTTTAAAAGTGGTTTTCAAAGAAATGAAATGTTCAATATGTTCAATACGTGCAAAATACCTTTCCAGAATGACATTTTCCTGAAAATGTCATTTTCTAGGAAGATAGGAATTGTATTTTTGAAAGGAGCAGCAAGGTTGCAAGCAGATGATTAATTATCATGGAAAATCATTGATGTATCATCACAATTTCACAGTATTTCCTGCAGTTAAAATAAAGCTCCTTCATATCTCTCGTAAAGGTATTGTGAAGCTTTAATTGATTCGTGTTGGTAAAAACCCTTGGTTACCATCATGGAAAATAATTGAATTAAGTATCAAAATATAAATGTACAGCTTTTGTTATTGTTTTTATATTTGCTTTTCTTTACAATAAATTTTGAAGGGTTCCAACTATTCTAACACATTATTAAACCAGGAGAAACTCTGACCCCAGGAGCTTGTACAGCTGGTAATTTAATGCTAAATTTATAGAACCCATAGAGGTATTAAAAGAAACTCATCTAGCTATCTCGATGTAGTGGATAATTTTGCAAATACCACTTGCTCACTCACCAAGGAGCAGTGATGATTTATGCCGGGTGAACAAGGAACATAAATCTCTAGGCTTACAGGTAGACTTTCTTTATGGCAGGGTAGACATTTTTTGCCTTCTTTTGGGAAGGATAACAATATTAAGTTAGCATCACTGTAAGGAAATACAAGAAACAACAGAAATGCCAATATTGATTAGGAGAACAGTGTAAACACATATAGAGACAGGTAAATCCGAATTGGTTTGAAAGATGTTTGAGCAACAGACTATCTAGAGTAACAGATACAACATAGAGTATAACAGTAACTCTTAATAATTGTCCTTAAGTATCAATCAGTAGCAATTCATGCATACTAGGTTTTCAGCAATTGTTAGAAATTATAATTCATAATTCCAGAAGTGAATTTTGAGACTGTGACTTCACATCCAGTGGGAGGGTCTGGAGATCATATTTATTCACTGTTTACAAACTGGAGATAAAGAAAATGTTCCTGTGTTATCTCTGTGCCAACCTATCAGACACGATCATAGCGAGAACTCATCCGAGACAGTGTTTATCGGTAGCCAGAAACAAGGTTATTCTTCAAGAGATAAATATCTTAAGGAGGACTCTTCGCTATGGATTCCTACATGGCCATCTTTCTGCCATAATGATTTCCACACTTTGGTGAGAATGGCATTACAAGGCAGGTATGGCCACCTACAGTACTTTACAGTCCCCTGTAGAGTTCTGCAATTTATAAGGTTACAACTACGCTGCCCAATGCAGTAGTCACTAGACAGGTGTGGCAATTTAAACGTAAATGTAAAGTAATTTAAATTAAATAAATATTAAACATTTAGTTCCTCAATTGCACTACCCGCATTTCAAGTCTCAGTAGGTACACGTGGCTAGTGGCTTCTGTATTGGACTGTGGAGATACAGGACATTCCATCATCGCAGAAAATTCTAGTTGACAGCTTTGGGTTAGAACAAGACAGAGGCCAGAACAGGGATGCCTAGTAAGGAACTCTCAAACAGAAATTTGACAACAAGAGTGCAACTTGGTTACAAAGAGGCTGTGTCACTCGACTCCGAAAGGGGAGAGAGACCTTGGTTCGTACTCTCCCAGCCTGGACTTCAATAAATAACCTAGAGTTAAAGGATTCTTTATGCCCCCATTCCCTCTGGGACCTCAAAAACTAAATGTGTTTCCATAAAATATTAAATCATGAGAAATTAAGACAGTGCACTTAATGTGAAATAAAGTTCATATACTCCTGTTTAAACACATATTAGAATTTCTGTCAGAACAATGCCAGTGAAAAGTTGACATTCTAATTAATACAATTTACATTATAAAGCACTGAGTATCTTTATCTTGCTATTATGAAATACCCTCTTAAAAAAAATTGAGACTCTACTCAACAGGGAATTGAGTACTAAGGGCAATATTTAAAAATCCATGTACAAGAGAGGTGTTTAGGGTCATGGGCATTTTTACACAGCATCAACCCAGGTCTCTAAAAAGGGAACCAATACACTCATCCTGTACCACACAGTTTTGCCATTCTTTATCATCCACAAGGTTATCTGCATGCAGCAACAGGATTTTCAGGCTGTTTTTCTTGAAATGATATAAAATACATTGCAAAAAAAAACCCCCAAAACCCAAAACATTTTCTCTCTCTCTCATACTTAACATCACAGAAAACAATTCCGGAACCCTGTGAACTCCAGTACATACAGGACTCCCACAGACTGTTTACTCAATCCAAATTCTGAGTGTGTAAGAGGGACAGAAAATCAACCCCACAGTTGGGTACCCAAGGATTTGTGTTCACTGCCTTTGTCAATTTTATGCTATCAGTGAAAGGAATAAAGATGAGGTCCTTAAAGCTTGAATTTTCATTTCCTATGACAACATGCTTTTTCTTCATGCTTTATCACACTCCACTACTCGGTTTCCACCCCTTCATAATTGATATCGGCCATTTGAAGCATTCAGTAAAAACCTTATGAGGTTCATCAAATGTCCCCCAGTCTATAATTCTTGCTTCTAACATATTCAGAAGCATATTCATCCAAGTGTTTTCCACTTCCCCTCCATGGTTTTCCCTGTGCACAGGGACGAGTGTAATGACAGTTGTATTAATTACATACTGAAAAACCCACATCACAGCAAAAATGATGGGGATCATTGTTTTAAATATTTTATTAAAATAACTCAGTGCAGAACAGATATAGTAGACCCTCTTGATAATGAGAGGTTCATTAATTTTACAAGAATTCTAAAAAGCTTAGAATGGTCATCAAAAATGATGTCTTCCATCTATTTATTTAGTTTAAAGAAGAGGAAAACCTTCCATTTTTGCTTTAAAGAGCAAGGTTCTAGTAAACCTTGCTAGGTGTATTTTTAAAATAATTACTTACCTTTCTAGAAAAAAAAAAAACTTTAAAAAATAGTTTGCAACATGGAGGACCTGGCTTTCATAGTATTAACTGAAATGCCTATAAAATTTAAGCTTATGCAGTTTATCCCATGAAAGCTTAGATTCATTAACATATAGTGATCTCTGATAGATAAAATTTATATTCTCCATAAACAAACAAGCAGCACATTAAAACCCTTCAGTTACTGATAGCAAGAGCAGCTCAATCTTGCCTACCAAGTGTGTCTCCAGGTACAGTTTCAGGCTATCCGTCTCTGCTCTCGGAGGAGTCCAATTCTCAGTGGTTTCCATGGCTTCATTTAACCATTGAATGAATTCATCCAGCTTGTTAACAAACCCCTTGTGAAAGAAAAGAAAACGGAGGAAAAAAGGACAAGAAAGAAATGTTAGTTGGTTATATTTTTAAAGCCAATATTTAAAATTCCAAATTTCACTGATGGTGAAATCGATACCACTGCACTCCCACCCTAGTTCCATCTTTGCTGTACAATGGAATTTCCACTATGCCTGGCACTGAAATCTATCAATAATGGAAAGAAATCGCTTATAACTTCCTCTCATTTTCCCCCCTTGGCAACATTTTTATGAGGAATTTGGATTGGATTACAGGGTGTCCTTTGTAAAGGTGACCTCCAAACATCAAAACATTTCTGGTGTCTGACAAGTGCTCTCTTGCCCATAAACCAGGTCCGGTCTGTTAGGAACACACGTTGGCTTTGGGGATAGAAGCATTCCTGGGAAGATGGGGTTCTTTATTCAGAAGCCTGGGGAGTTGAGTTGCCTCAACCAAAACAAACAAACAAAAACAAACAAACCTGTTACCATCGATTCCCACTCATAGCAACCCTATAGGACAGAGTAGAACTGCCCCATAGAGTTTCCAAGGAGCACCTGACGGATTTGAACTGCAAACCTTTTGGTTAGCAGCCGTAGCTCTTAACCACTACACCACCAAGGTTTCCTGAATTGCCTTAGCTGAACTGTAAATCCATTTTTAAGCCACCTAACTGTTTTAAAGGTACTTGGACAAGTTCTGTTGACAGCCCAGATGTCTGTGGCTGAGCCTGGGTGCTAAGAAGCAAGGAAGAGTAGAGGAGGTTGGAACAATCATTAAACTAAAAGACCTGACTTGGGTACGTCCTGGACATAAAGAAATATTCTTGGCTAAGATGTACAAATCAAAAAAGTCTCGCAATTTTTCACAGAGGTTATAAAATTTTATTGACCATTTAAAAGAATACATCTGTAGAAACTGAAAATGTTTCTGGGAGGAAAAAAAAAGGAAAGCCCAGCTGTAAACCTAACGGAAGGAAACGGGGCTTGGCGCCTGCATTTCATGTCTAGGTAAACAGCACCACCTGCAGGTCATAAGAAGCAATAGCAGGCGTCCACATTTGTTCTCATAGAGACGGCCCAAACCCACTGGAGTCGATTCCGACTCATAACGATCCTACAGGACAGAGCAGAACTGCCCCATAGTGTTTCCAAGGCTGTAATCTTCATAGAAGCAGACCGTCACATCTTTCTCCTGAGGAGCGCTGGTGGGTTTGAACTTTCGGTTAGCAGCCAAGCACTTAACTGCTGCGCCACCCAGGCTCCTTAGAAATGACAAGGGATGTTATTTCCCTATTTAACTTAACCCATTCTTCAGATTTGCATTTTGATTCACTTTGATTAATATTTTTAATGCTTAACGGAAGATATTCTGAAGCTGAAATAAGAACAGTGAAAATTCATTTTATCATGCTTCTTGGAAACTAGGTTTTGCTATTAAGGTTTCTCCTAGATAATATTTTAAGATTCATAACCCTTTAATTCAGAGCAATTGGCTTGTCTCAAAATAATTATTAGAAAAGAGAGACTGGGGTTGCGGAGGTTGGTAAAGTGAATGGTAGACAAATAGCATTCGGAGACACAGTCCTCCTGTCTGTCAAAGGGGATAGAGCAGAGGTGTGGGTAAGGAGGCTCATGGAGTCAGGGCAGACTATCCCCCATACTCTGGTGTGCTGTCAGCCTTCGTGGAGCTAATTCTATAACCCCACATGGTGATGGATCATATTTTTCCCATGTCAATAAATGCCACCAAAAGCTTTCCCTACCGAGAACAACCATACTGTGCTGAGTCTCAGAGACAATCACGCCCAAGGATACATCACAATTAGCTTTCAAATATCAAAGCAAAAATTTACCTTTAATATCCTTTTTGAAAATCTGCCCCACTCAGGTAAAGCCAATGAGAAATATCATCTTAGTGACACTGTACTTAGAAACTGTTGCTGTTGTTAATTGCCACCGAGTAAGCCCTCGGATCATGGCGACTCCATGCACAATGGGACAAAATGCTGCCCGTTCCTTTGCCATCCCCATGATTCCACGTGGATTGGATTATTGTGATCCATAGAGTTTTCACTGGCTGATTTTCAGAAGTAGATCAGCAGGCCTTTCTTCCTAGCCTATCTTAGTCTGGAAGTGCCACTGACACCAGTTCAGCATCGTAACGACACGCAAGCCTCGAATGACAGATGGGTGGTGGCTGTGCATTAGGCACAACGGCCGGGAATCAAATTCTTTGGTGGTGCAGTTAACACACTCGGCTGCTAACTCCCACCTGTTCAAAACATCACCCTCCAAACCTCTCTTTCCTGTAGATTTCCTGGGACTCAGATTACTTCGCAAATTCATATCTGACTTGATATTTGCCATAAATCTTTGTAGATGTGCACAGTAAATTGTGAGCAGAAATAAGGGAAGAGTCTGTTAGTTCTGAAGTCTTAATTCTCAATGCTCTTATAATAATATCCTGCTAAAAAACTAAAAGAGACACTTTGCTGACCAAATGGACTTACCAAAGTATTGTCTATCATCTACGGAACATGATCAGAAAATCAGAGTCTTTTGGTTGGTAGTTGGGAGATGATCACAGTATTTTATAGTATTTATAGAAGCCCGGATGGCTCCAGGGTTAAGTTGGCGGTTTGAACCTACCAGTGGCTCCACAGAAGAAAAGACCTGATGATCTGCTCCGGGGCAACCCAGGAAGCCCTGTGGGGCAGTTCTGCTCTGTTGTACAGGGTTACTATGGGTCAAATCCACTCGATGGCACACAGCTACAGCATGGTATTATGTGGTATTTACTCTCTAATTTGGACTTGGGTTGTTATATCTGAATATATACATTGGTTTTGGGAGAAAATTAAATCAGGAAGCAAATTATTTTAGTTAAATCCAAAAATGACAAATGAATAGCAGAAGATGTTATTTGAAAAATAACTAGTAATAGACTATTCATTATCTTCTCTCCCTCAAAAATCAAACAAAGAAAACAATGCGTGTGTAGGTGAATGAATAGGTACATCGTAAAAGGTTAGTCTTAGCCAAAGTGTACTGAACAATGTGTGCCAGATTTCCTAACAGAACCATGATTACATAGTTAGCAAAAATCCTTGAGATGCAGATAAGGCAAAACCCATGGGACCTGAGTGAACTTTTCTGGACAGTATTTCTACATAGCCCAGCCAGGCAGCGAAACCAGGACTGTCTGATGTAGAAGAAACGGAGGCTCTTTCAACACTTTGCTCTGAATTATATCTCATCCTCACCAATTTTCCTTTTTACACATTTTCCCAACTCTTTTCTTGCCAGTGTTCAAAGGCAACAGTTTCATCAGTCACAATAGAAACCCGAGAAATCCCTGTGTTCTTAACTTCCAACAAAACACTGAGCAGCCCTCCTACTTAGGAAAATCTTAGCTTTCCACCTACCCTCCTTCTTCTATGTGTAGCCACAAGAAAATAACCAGAAATTCTGAAAGCAAGTGAGACTGGAGTCCGGAGTCCCTCAAATCTTGATACCTTGGTCACCTACTATTTCTCCACGGATCTCAGCCCCTTTATCTGTGCATTCTCACCAGTGTCCTATGGACAGTCCTATCCCTATATCATGGGATGCTCTCTTAGAAAGACCAAGTCAGTGCCACTCCTTACACAGACCCATGCACATGTGCAGGAGGATTCATCAATAGATGCATAGAGCAAATATTTGATGTTGATTTTCCACAAGTCTGCTGGAGTCTTTGCAGTATGAATGAAGGAACATGAGGCTGACACAGTAACAATGTGGGAAATGGGAAAAAATACAAAAAGTTATTTATTTTGTAACAAAGTCAAATCCTAGTATAACAAATATTGATCATTCATTAATTCATTTAACAAATATTTATTAAGTGCCTACTACACGCAAGGCACACTGGTAGATATTATTGGGAACACAAAGACGAACATCATTTTGGAGAAAATTTCAGCAGAACATAAAGTATGTTTAAGCACTGGCCTGTTCAGTTTAAGTAATTTTAAACATTAAACACTTTTTTACAATAAGTAAAGAGTTGTAACACTCTCCTGTATTTTCCTGTGAAACACATTCTGTCTGTATCATTAAAGCCTAAATTTTTTCATAATCTTTGTGTCGTAGGCTGGGTTCTGTAGAGAAGCAAAACCAGGGAAGCGTATATATACACAGAGAAAGATTTAACTCCAGGAAATAGTCCACATGGTTGTAGAGGCTGGCAAGTCCCAAGTCCATGGGTCAGGCATCAGGCTGGAAGCTTCTCCTGACTCATGTAGCTGCAGGGGCTGATGAACTCATGATCAGCAGGTCAGATGGCAGGCCACTGGCTCATGAACTGTGAAGGTTGGTGAATCTCAAGATCAGCAGCCATATGGCAGTCTGCTGGCTCAAGTCAAAAGAACTGGAGGTCAGACGATGACGATGAGCTGGATGCAGGATCCACACCAAGCAAGCCAGCTTTGCCAGAACATCCATATATATATTGGATGCAGGCCACACTCCCGAGGAAATGCCCCTTACAACTGAATTGCTGATCACATCATATCACATTATGGAGGATCACTATACCATTATATAACTGCCAAATTACATCATTACATAACTGTCAAACCACTGAGAATCATGGCCCAGCCAAATTGATACATAACCTTAACCATCACAGTCCACCTCTTGTAAACTTGGCACAGTACACATCTCTTTAAACCATACACAATCTCTAAATGAAGACAATTACAAAGTCATACTTGCACCTAACAAGATACAACTAACATGAATACAATTGCAAGTGCACTAACCCCAATTACATCTTATAGTTTATAAGTGAAGAAAACAAAAATATTTGATACACACATGCAAGTAAGAAATATTCATAACAATTACAGTCCTCGTTTCTGAAACTGGTCACATTGTTGTAACTGGTATTTAGAACTACCTTCTTCCACCACCCATTCCGTATTCCCTTTACCCTCAGCAAGCACCTCAACTGGTTGTGG